TACCAGCATTCATCTCCAGCATTTATGAAAAGATGACCACAGACACAGTAAATGAAATAGGGTATTAAAAACTCCAAGGAATGTGGTTGTTTTACTCTAATTGAAATAAACGAGAATAATGAACTATTTTAGCAACTAAAACAAAGAACTCACTGGCTCTCCTTTGTACCACTCAGGATTAAACTTCTCTTTACTTTTAAGTGAAAAGGAAGCATTCATTTTGGGGTCATACATTTTATTGTCAATTACGCCATGGGATTCTGGATAAAGTCCCTACAAAAGATAAAACATGGATTCTGTCATGCATTGCAAAACAAGTTACTTTTTTATGCAAAATATAACTTATTCCCTTTAAATAAGGGAATGCAGAGTTGAAAAAAAAAGTTGAAATGTAGAGCTTACTGTGACAATGCTGTAGTGATTGGGAAAAGTTTTTGTTGGATACACTGGTCTCAAGTTTTTGGTATACGTTCCACAGTTTTCTAGGAGGGGAAAAAATAAACATCATTATTAAATACATCTGACAATCTACTTATCTCATTTAGCTTTGATACCACAGCAGTATCTTTAAATCAAGTAAAATAATTAGAATGGATTTATAACCAGATTAAAATTCAGGATGAATTATAAAGTAACACTTGGGATATAAATTCAATGTTAAACATGTGTTTTTTCCTCTTAATCAGAAACATGGTAAACAAAATAATTAAGTCAATTAAGTAGTTATGCCATACTTAACAGTAACATAAAGTTCAAGACAGACAAGTTGGAATAACATGATGCTTGCAAGATATTTGCTCGGACTTAGTAGTTAAACACCTAAATTATAATAGGGAATGAACAAAAAAAGCTGCACTGGCAACAAAATCTACATATTAGAATAAGGGTGAAATAGTAGTTGGGGTGTCAGGGTACGGTGCTACAGATTCAGAACCAACCACCCCTGGATGAACTGGACTGCTTAAAAACAAAAGGTGTCATTTGGCTTCAAGTCAGAGAAAGCAAGGAAGTCAGACTGCTCTGATGGATGGCCTACTCATTTTCCCCTGGTGTCCCACTCTTCTTCTGCTGCCTCTGTTATTAAGGAAGGAACTTCTACCTAATGATTCCAGTGTTTCAATACTGCACTGCCTGATAATGTTCCTCAGATTGCCAGTTGTCTGCATCACTCACTGCCTTGCTAACAGTTCGGAACTGCAGGCTGCATACTCCAATTGGCCAGTACTAGGGCTTGGGCTCATTGTGTATTGATTTCTTAAAAACTGCATATATGAGTAGCTATAGCTCCTTAATTTTGAAATCAGGATGTCTTGCTGGTGTGATAGAGACAAAAAGCTTCAAAATCCATGGGCCTACTGGTAAGAACACAATCTTGTCCAGATAAAGCTAAAAACTTTTTATACCAAATGTTTTTTACTCAAGATAAAAAAAAAAAAAATTCTTTTCCTCCAGGTGGAAATTAAAAACTGAAATTCTAAAAATCTACAAAACTCATTTTGGCATGTAGTAAGACATAATTTGGCCTTTACTGAGAGCAATTATAATGTTTAAAACAACCTTGTATACTCAATTATGGGAAAAAACATATTAGAATGCCAGCAGAACATTAAAATTGCTGTATTTACATGACAGCTACATAATTACTGAGCACCAATAGCCAGTAACTTCTACAGTTTTAATATTCATATGTGATTATCTTCCTTTTTCTATAATGCTAATACAACTGATTTTTGGTATCCATATTGCTGGTTACTAACGTGAGTTTAAAATTGGGGCATCAATATCAGGAAAAGACCATTCTACCATTTCATCAGTGACCTGCAGAATAATCATTCAACTAAGGGCTCAACTGAGATTTTTTTTAAAAAATTGAAAGGATTCAATTCAAACGATAATACAGGATACGTAGCAGTACTTCAAGTCTATATTAGTAGAATCATTTTGTATAAATATGTCAAAATATACTCTACTGTCATGTATAACTACAAAGAACAAATAAAAAAGAAAGGAATGTTTTAGAGTCATAACAAAAATAATGATAATTATAATAAAAACTACTTTCTACTGTTAAAAAACTGTAGTTTTAAAATTCTATTTTAAAAATGGAATAGTCATAAAATAAGAAGGAATGTTTCCACAAAAAGAATGCAAAATTCTAAGAAAATGCAAATGTGACCAGGCATGGTGGTGCATGCTGGTAATCCCAGCAGCTGGGCAGACTGAGGCAGGAGGAAAAAGCCAGCCTCAGCAACTTAGTGAGACCCTGTCTCAAAATAATAATAATAATAATAAAAGAGTAAATGTGTATAAAAATGGGTTACAATCCTAACATAACTGAATCATTTTAGAAGTATTTAAAAGGTAGCTTTAGAGTGATCACACTATTAAAGGCTGGAGCCTTATCACCAGGTTCAGGCTCTCTGCAATAGAGAAAGAAGTCTGGTAGAATAGTTAGGTCTGCCAGTACTTTTCCAAAAAAGACTGCTTCTCTAGTCTATCTCACCAAAATCGTGACAACCCAGTCATCAAACCTGAAACTACTTACTTAGTTTGCTAATAACAGGAAGTAGTCCACCCCAAGTGTGTAAATATTCTGCCCTGAATCCATCCAAAGAAAATAAGAGGGTAGGAGGTGAATCAAACCTGGGTTTATGAGAAAGGAAAAACAGTGTTAAAAGAGCAGGAAAAAAGACACATCCAATGAAGATTTTCCCCCTCCCCAGTACTGGTCCAGTGAAGATTTTTCACTGCAGTTGGTATATAATCATAAATAAACTAACAAGTTAGCAAGCACACTCATAAAGGACATTTTCCATGTACTTATATTCACACTCATGCTTTACCATTGCCTCCTGTGTATCCGTCATCACATAGTACTTATTAAGCACTCATACTACTTAATCTACCATACAAGGAACACTATTCATGGTTCCTGCCATTCCCAAAGCTAGACCAAAGACTATTAAAATATAACAGCATTTCTATGATATTCAGGAGAATAAGTGTTAATAAACAACATTACCTAAATTATGTTTTTGTTTTCATTATTTTTTTCTGAATGACTACTTTCCAATGTTCTCTTGTTGAATCTAAAAGATTGTACCTCATACAGCATAAATGTATTTAGTTTTTAAACTTCATCTATTTAAAAATATAAATAGCTAATACAGAAGTTTGCGAGATCTTTATTACATTCAAATATTTAAGCAATAAAGAAATGATTCAAAGATTCAAAGCTAGGAATGATCAATGAAGTTACACACACACACACACACACGCACACACATAAAAACATAGTCAATGTGCATGGTATAGAAATCCAAAGAAAGAGAAAAAAAAACCCACACAAACATACATATGACAATGTACACAGCAAGAGAACAGCTGTGAATGATAGCTGCATGACTATCTGAAAATAGACATGGTTGAGAAACTTTGCTTCTTTGCTTCTAGTGACTTTTGGTAAATGATAGGGGAGTTGAAGACCACTGGATAACTGTGAAAAGGTCTTCCACAAAAGGTTCTCTCAGTAATTTAAAATTTGAGAGCAAATTTACTTTGTCTTACCTTTATCAACCCTAGCTCCTCCCCTCCTACTCTCATACCCAAATATAAAAGCAACACTGTAAAAAGGAGAACTTTCTTATATAATTTCTATTAACTCATATTTGTAATACTAAGCACCCTTGGGAGACTGCAGTTAGTTGCAGATATAGACAATGGTCCTTATTTGTACAAAACTATTTTTACTCAACAAACAGAAAACACAAAAGCAGCTTAGTGGTCCCCGGTAAACATACTGGTATAATAATTTCCAGAAGAATAAAATGTGCTCTAAATTATGATCATGTTAATAAAGAAAGGAAAAGTTATATTCTCCACTAAATGATTCAATAAAAATGATCAATGCTTAGAAGAGTCAAAACTTACTGGTACACCTATTAAAAGACAGCTTAGGTACATGAGAAGTCCCCTTTAAAAAAATAGTTTCTCTTGATGAGATTGTTTAGTTTAGGTTTAGTCTTTTACCTTTGTTACTATGGTTTTACACCAAAAAAGTTACTCTCCATTCAAAAGGGGGAAAAGGCACCTTACATAGTAAAAATTAATTATATACACGAACAAAATAAGCTAAATACAAGTCAAGAATTCTGAAAAGTATGGGAAAAAGTATTTTAAACAGGTATTAAATAGTAGATCAAGAGGAAAAATATAAATCTCTAATATCTTTACTTTTACTTTTTTTCCAAATTTTAAATCTTTAATAATTAATTTACTGACAGTTCTTCCTCAATACCTTTATAAAATGTCTACTCTTTATAATGCACACCAACATTTTGTAAGATACTGTGCAAAATATTTTAAAGCCCAAAGGAATAAATACAAATTTTTTAAAACTATGTAATTCCACTCACAGTCATGTTATTTATCCCCCAAAATATAAGTGAACCAAAATACACACATACACAGTTAAAAAGCTACAATTTGTTACAAGTTCAGTTCTGAAAGATCCTTCCCTCCTAAGAAGGAAGACCCTAGTCCTTCCATTTGACAATCATGAGCAATAAATACTAACTACTCCTGGCCTCTCTTTTTCCACTAAATTCCAGAGTAGGGGTCAAACCATAATCATTTCTATACCACTAGTGCCAAACAGAAGCTCTTGTTAAAAATAATGTTAAAGGAGTCAATAATTGATTATTATTTTTTATCTTCTTAATATGAAAAGAGAAAAACATGGTCCTTCTAAGAAAGAAAGAAAAAAAAAAAAGTATCTGAGAATTTAATCTTACCCTTCTGGACACTGTGGCTCATCAATGCTCTCACATGTTTCTTCTACCCAACTTTTCTCACCTGAAATATTTTCAAGAAATAAAATGAGGTGAGCATACTTAATGGTGACAATAACTGTGATGCTTATGAGACACAGTAAGATAAATTCTAAAAACAAAATATGTTAAAATATGACAACATGTGGCATGACACCAGAGAAATACAATGAATAAAGAGAGTTATTCTGTTTTCCAAATGAGTTAATGAGTTGCCAGGAAGAAAACAATGAATGTATAATTTCAAGACAGCCATCTGTATCTATGTGTTATTCTGCATCCATGGATTCAACCAACTGCAGGTCAAAAATACTTAGAAATACATTTATATTGAACACATGCAGTGTTTTTCTTTTCATTATTCCCTGAACAATACAGTGTAACAACTATATGTATGGCATTTACATTGTGTAGATGTTTTAAATAATATGGGATCATTAAAGTATTCTGGAGGATTTGCACAGGATACATGCAAGTACTGTGCTCCATGCTATTTTACATGAGGAACTTGAACACCCTTGGATTCTGATACCTGCAGAGGTTCAGGAACAAATCTCACATGGACACAGAGGGATGATTAGACTATGTTTGGGAAAACTTGAGTAGTTTTCTCATTTTCAAATTTTAACATTTTCAACTATGATTTATAACCATTCTTCCATCTACTGTACAAACTCTTTGGTATTACAGTCTCTTCATTCTCTCTCACATAGAGTCAGGTTCTGTCAAGGAATTTCAAGGAACCCTGTAACTCCTGAATGAGGCATTATAATAACATCAGCTCACAAAATAACTAATAACTAATCTTTTAAGTTAAACATTGTCTTCATGTACTACAAGGGTACTTGGGGCATAAATATCATGCAGAACTGGAAAAGTGGCCTTTCCACAAATTCAGTGTTACATATGTCGCTATCATCAAAATAAAAGGGAAGGAAGGAGACAGGAGTGGCTGTAGGTAAAACAAAACTGGCCATGTATCGGCAATAATGGCTATTAGGCTGGGCAATGGAAATAAAGTTCACTACATTATACATTTTCTCTACTTATATGTGTGTTTTAATAAAAAGTTTTTAAAGTACCTTTTCAGAAAATATGGGTAGCTAAAAATATTCTTGCTAATATAAAAGCTGGCATCTATGCAAAGCCCTGGAAGACCTAGAAGATGCCAGGCTGCTGGGGAATGATGGGTACATGGCAACCTGACCTTGACACACAGAGCCATAGTTGATGCAGCAGTCACCCTGGGCCTTGCAGTCATCAGAACAGGAGCAGAGGTTTCTGGACAACCTTTTCTCCCCACACCTGAATTTGTTGCAAGTCCATATATGTCCTAGAAATAAATGTCAACAAAGTATGTGTTATGGTTCCAACACAAAGTCAACACAGAATCACTGTCTCCTAGAATAGGAGCCAAGAGAGAGACAACGAACTATTTCATAACTCTCAGTGACTCACAGAATCTGCCCCCACTGTGGTCGCTCTGCCCTAACAGATATAAAACATGTGTACTCCAATTGTTCGTATTTCACTTAAAACTCAGAATTTCATCTTTTTAAAATGTGGATACATCATCATTATTATTATACAACTCATATGAGGACCCTGGCTTCTTCTAGCAACATTTTCAGGGTTCTCAAAATTTAATCTAAATCCAATGGTCTCTCTTTGTATCCCAAGGCATGTCCAAAGTAAATAGAAAATTTTTCTGTTCCAAAGGTTTTATTTTTAAGTTTAAGTGACCATCTATGAATACAGCTTTAATAGATCCATCATTAAAAATACTTATGTATTTCAGGCATCTTTTTGAACTTAAGTTTAAGTGCAAATTAAACTACAATGGCTTTCAGGACACTATAAACACAGGCATTTTTGCTAACCATGAAATATTTAACAAAGGCAATGTATGGAAAAGTTTTTTCTCCAAGGATCTATTAAAACATAGAGGCTATTGTGAATGTTTATATGTGCTAAATTGAAAGGAAAAAAATTCTAATAAGGATAAATCATATAACTAAAAAATACAGAAATTGTTTTTCTTTCTTTTTAATTAATCTTTTCCTAATGTCATGACTCTGTCTTTTCCCCTGCACTTTTTACCTGGTTCTATACATGTCTCCTGGTAATCTAGACAGCAGTTTCCAAGGTCAACGCAGGCAGCATCACACCGACAGTTCCCAAACGTTCTCTCAAAGCAGCGGCCTTTGCAACTTTTCACTGAAAACAGTGAGCACATTAGATGATTCCAATAATGGTTAAATTTCAAGGCAAGCATCAACTTATATACCTAGCTCAAGTATAGAATAAATCCAAAAGATGCTATAGAAAGCACAGATGAGGTAAAAGTCACCTGAGATTCTTTTCACAAATACACACAGGGACACAAACAAAAGGTAATTTATACATATAAATTTACCAGGCTTGGGGTATGGCTCAGTGGTAGAGCATCTGCCTGGGATGCTTGAGGCCCTGGGTTCAATCCTCGGCATCATGGGGGAAAAAATTAAGAATTTTATGTCTGTCATAAACAAAAGAAAATTTTTTAAAAATTCATTACAGACCTTGCTGGGTCTGAAAAAACTAAAATACTTATAGTCTGATAAAAATCAAAATAAGGAATGGTTCTGAAATTTTTATGCTATGAAAAGTGAGCTAATAAGCATCTATGGGTTCCCCTAAAATTTCAAACTGTGTAAAAAAAAATTTAAGGTGGCTATCTAGGAATATTTCAGAAAGGGAAATATCTGATTTACCTCACTGTGATCTTGGCATGAAGTAGCTGTACAGAACATGCTTTCCAGCACTGACCCTATCATGACCTGGGACACTCTTCATCTTCAGAGATCTGACTCCCTCCACAAGGTTTTCCCAATCTCCCCAGCCCAGACCCATCTTCTCTTTTTAAGTTTTATAAAACCACATACTTCCCCTTGGATCATCAGATTTCTTGGTTAATGTCCCAGATTTGTATTAGACATCACACTTCCTAAGAACAAAGGCTATATATCTGGATTTTCTTCAGTACACTGTATCCCTGACATGATGCAGGATGTCTGACGTGGAGTTGGCACTAACAAGTTTTTGCTAAACGGATAAATGGTGAATATGGAAGGAAAATATTTTTCATTAAAAACAATAATTTGGGCTGGGGATGTGGCTCAAGTGGTAGCGCACTCGCCTGGCATGCGTGAGGCCCAGGTTGGATCCTCAGCACCACATACCAACAAAGATGTTGTGTCCACTGAAAACTAAGAAATAAATATTTAAAAATTCTCTCTTTCTCTCTCTCTCTCAAAAAAAAAAAAAAGACAGTAATTTGACTATGTAACTCCTTACTAAATCCCTTGAATAATCTGGGGTTTTATTGTATTACCAGAAAATTAGGATAATGAATAAAAGGAAAAAAAAAGGTAAAATCATGGTCATCCAACAACCACAAAAAAGGAATAATCTTACATCTTAACTTTAGTAATGGTCTCCTGATTCAACAAGATGACACTGCCTTGGAATTTAACTCTCATTTGGAACTGGGAAATCAGGCAATTTTAGGAAGAAGGAGTAACAACAATAATTTCTAGGATTAAGAATACTAACTTTCACATCCAGACAGTGGTGGTACATGCCTATAATCCCAGTAACTTGGGAGGCAGAGGCAGGAGGGTCACAAGTTCAAAGCCAGCCTCAGCAAAGGAGAGGCACTAAGCAACTCAGTGAGACCCTGTCTCTAAATAAAATACAAAATAAGCCTGGAGATGTGGCTCGGTGGTTTAGTGCCCCTGAGTTCAATCCCTGGTATTCCCCACCAAAAAATTATGCTATGCCCATATATAAACATACCACAATGAACCTCCTATTATATATAATTATAATGTACTAATTAAAATATTAATAACAATAATAACAGAGGGAGATCAGTAGAATAGAGCAAGGAGATGGTGGGGGGGAGATAAGGGAAAGGGAGGTACTGGGAAATGAGACTGATCAAATTACGTCATGTATGAATATAGCCTAATGAATTCTGCTATTATATATAATTATAATGCACCAATAAAAATAAAAACAGAATGCAAAAAGTAAATACAATTACTATGTTCCACTCTTTTCAGCAGTATATGGCATCTTAACAATCACTAAAATTTTTTAAATAACTGTTAAAATTACAGAATAGTTGAATAGGAGGGGGAAAAATTGTTCAGTTTTCAAAGTTGAATTCCCAAGGAAAACCATCCAAGATTTTATAGGGGAAAAAAGAAACACCAAAGCCAAAAGAATGAAAACTATGATTTACTGTTTGATTATTTATAGTAATCTTATCAATGCTGGGTAGATTTCTGCATTTGTTAGTAAGAGAAACATAATCAGAAGCTTAACAATTTCATGATTACTTTGAAACCAACAACATCTTGCAATTTTAAAAACCCTAAGATCGGACACTGATCAGTTTCTGGTTGTCTGGGATTCTACCTGGTCACCTAGCAACCTCTGAATCTGCTTCAGCAACTAAATCCTTGGGGGAGAAAGAATCTCAGGAGTCCCTAGAGGGTGGGGGCTGCTCTAGGGACACAGTGCAGAACCTGCTAGCCCTGTCTACATTCTTCATTGTTCTCAAGTGATTTTTTTTTTTTAATTGTTTTGGGAGGGTTTGGATGAGGCTGAACACAAGTACGTACACACACACACACACACACACACACACACACCACAGGCAATACTAGTTACCTTCTTTGGCGCAACTTGGTTTCAACCCAAATATACAACCAAGGATTGTTGTTAATACACATACTGACAAAACCTGTAAGGGGAGAAGACGACAATTAGAGAGTGTCAAAATCCTTTTTGTCCAAATGCTGTCTTTCTCTAAATGTTTTTAAACTTGCTAGTGCTGTTTTGTTTGCTGATCTGGCTGCTGGCCACAGGGATGTCTTCACTATTTGAAAATTTCAAACTGTATTATATACTTGGATTCACCTATTGTCCTGAGTACGTTGACTTCAATAAAAAAATTCACTTACATGTCAGCAAATATTTCTAGATCATCCAAAAGTTATATAATGAGAAACTCCTAAGATAGTATGATGAAGTAGTCATAAAAATTACAATACTTAAGGAAAGCAAAAGGAAAATTTATTTAGAGACTCAATTTCCAATTTATTAATGCATTAATGGCAAATGGGAGCATTATATGCCTCACTTAACAGTGAACAACACAAACCTAAGCAGAACAATCTCCTATGTGCAGTGTGTGGGTCAAGCACTGAGGAGGCTTACTTGCTCCTTTCTGGGCCCAAATATTGCCACACACGGGTGGTATGGTTTGGGGTAACATCATTTGGCCTCTCTAAGCAACAGTTTATTCATCTATAAAATTAAGGGGTAGGACTTTGTGGATCTCTAAAATCTTTCCAGGGTTAACATTTGTCCCATTCTCATTCTCAATTGTATATGTCTAATGACAAAAGGGAACTATCAGAGAAAGCTTGCACAAAGAAGTTCACAAGGATAAAAGGAGACAACAAGGTATCAGAAGGGGACACTCAAGGCTTCTCCTAACATTCAATGGTAGTGTAAATGGGCACAATGATAATGGAAGGGTATTTGTCAAATACCTACCGAAACCACAAAACCCATTTTACTATCCGTTTTGAAAATATAGGGAAATGAAAAATAGTAAAACCAATATCTATTTAGTATACTATAATTTAAAATAGTAAAATAATGGATCTTAATTTTTTGCTTCTTTTTAAAACTTAGCTAGAGTAGTTTGAACAATATTTATTTTCTTCTCACCCATCATGAGCGAGAACCTTTTGTATGCCCTGGGGAATTATCACATTCCTTTCTAAGCTTAGCTCTGTTTCCAGCATTTCAACCTTTGTACTTTCAATATCATGAACCATCTGCAGGGTTTCTTTCCTATGAAGTTCTGTCCCATGTCACTTTCTCTGAGATACCTTCTTCCTCTTTGTCATAACCACACTCCTCATATATATCCATAAATTTGCTTCCACTAAATTCCTCTGGCTTGTATCTAATGTACTAATCTGTGGTGGCAGCAGCTTCCCATGGTTGGCTATTTTATCCATAACTCCATTTACATTCAACTAGAGTTTCACTTCCAGCATCATCACTTTTCTTTACTGTACCCCTCATTCAATTCCCTTTTCAATTACACACTTCTATAGAATATCATGTAAGCTTACTATGGGGAGGCAGAGAAGCAACACAACTACATGCTTTGCTGCCTGTGTGTGAACAGACTAAAAGATGCACAGTGGCTAGCCACTGACAGACTTTGAAACAAAAGTGATTGGCCACTAAGTAGGATAAGCACCTGTTATTTACACAGTAATTCACAGATTGATGAACTAGTAGCCAAGTTTGTGCTTTAGGCCATTACTCACAGTAAATATACCTGAGTAGCTGAAATTTGAAGCATGTTGTGTGGAGCTGATAATATTCAATCAAACAGTGGTAACTGAAAATGTGCATGTCAGAGAATGAGGAAGCTGGCACTAGCAGTACTCTCACAAGTGGGCAACACAGTTATGCAAGGACATTTAAAAATGGTTTGTATTCATTAAAAACAAAAACAAACAAACAACAACAAACCAGAAACAGCCTAACTTGTTTTGAAATTGGCTTACCAAGTCAAGTTTTGTCTACACAATGGAACACTCTCAAGGGATTAGCCTCAGAGATAGGCATCTCAGAAGACAATGGGGGGGAAAAAAAGACTCACACATTCACAAAAACCTGAGCAAGAAGAAGTTGGAAGCAGATGATGATGAATCTCCTTAATTTCCTTGACCCAGTAAGATGCATCTATTGGCAATGAGAAAGTCAAGGTGGGGCTCTGAGAAAACAGAGGGGACTTAGGACATCCCGTGTGAAGGATGGCAAAAAATCAGAGAAGTCAATGAAAAGCAAGTCAACAGGAAAAAGTAAAAAGAACTTCAAGAGCTGGGAGCCAAGCTTAACCTGAAATTATGGACTGTAGTGAACGCGAATGGCCGGAAACTCTAGGAGTTGAAATGGGGAAATGGAGTAAAAAGATGATAGGACCAGGGAAATTTGAAGGCAGGCAAGAAAGCACAGATAGACAGGGAATCAGAAGAGGGTGGGCTGGTCTAACAGGACTTGGAGGCCATGAGTATATGTAGGAAGAAAAGGAAAACTTTGGAAAGATTTGGTGGTAAGCAAGTATTTAAACTGCAACCATTGGTTTAAATTATGCCTGGTGTATGTAGCTCTTTACTCTCTTAAGTAGCAGAAGATACATGCTGAGATTTTAAAAACCACCTCTTCATTGTCAAACAAAAGTTACTTAGATTTGATTTTTATAAGATAATGTGTATCACAGAACTGAATCAAAATCATGATCATATTGTTACTTCTTATGTGTACTCCCACCCATAAAAGATGAAATTTGGAGTATCTACTACTCTGTTACAAAATAATCAATCAAAATGTTTTAGTAGGAAAATTTTCTTCAGCAATTTTTGAGTTATGAAACCTTACTCAGTTTCAAATTTATTCTCAAAGCTCTCTAATTCAGCATTGTCAAAATCCACCATCCCCTTCATTATCTCCACACCAATTTAGGCATTTTAATATTTTAATATTTTCTTTGCAACTATAGAGAAAAAAAGCATTTTACCTTAGAAATCTCGAAGCTGGAAAACAAAAAGTTGTTGAAATTTTTGCCTCCATGTTAAGAGAATATTTTTTTTGGAGTTTCCTGCTTGTTTTGTTAGAGTTCCTAAATCATTGGTATTTCTTACACATTTAGTGAGCCAAGAAAAATAGACAATTTTAAAAACCCCTGTTTTTTCCCCCTCACAGGCATTAATTTAATGTGTTATTATTCTTTCTAGAATGCCTACTGCTGCATTCTCTGGGCTAATACAATGAAAGTAACTCTGAACCCTATAAAGAAACAAAAGGTGAGGACAGTGAACATTAAAATTAATGACTGCAATGGAACTGGACAAGAGCTACAGTAGAAATATATAAAAAATACTAACAGCAGAAAGGAGAACAGCAAAGGAGAAAAGGGTTACAAAAGGCTTCACAGAGAGACATTGAGAACAAAAACAAACAACAACAACATAAAAAAGCATTCCCCACCTTTAGCAATGAACAAATGTTTGAGTAACTGCCAAAATGCACAAAAGTAGATTCAGTGGGAAGTATCAAAAAAAATGGGGGTGAAATATCTAATTTTGGATTGTATTATCTAGTCAGGGCAACAACTCTGGAAGGATACCCCATGTCAATGATGAAGATATGAAACAGGGAAAAGCAACCTAATAGTTCATCTCTGCAGTGACAATATATACAATAGTGCTTCAGATGAAGCCATAGAAGGACAGAAGACAAGACCAGTGTGGGAAAAAATAATAACAACTGCAACTATATGACTGACAGTTCCACAGCACATGCTCAGTGTCAGGTGGTTCTCCAATTATATTAAATTACTTACCATACAAGATAGGTTATGGTGATTATACCAGTATAAGGAAACTGAGCTACAGAGAGGTTAGTAACTTGTCAAGAACCATGGAGTGGAAAACAAAAGCAGCAAGATTTGAACTCAGCAGGTAGGCTGCAAAGGGCCTGGGGCAAGCAGGGGAGTGGATGAAGAGGCTGAAAGCAGGCTAAGGCCTTGGAGCAGCCAGTGAGAAGTTGTTGGGGCATTTAGTTGCACAAGTGACACGACTAAATGTACAAGTTCTAGAAAGGTCCTCTGGCAACACCATGAAAGGCAGGGGTCCACATGGGCAATGAGGGTTTGTCCTTACCTGCCCCACTTCTCCCAGGAGATGCTCCATGCTCCTCTACGCCTTGCCTCACCCCAGTTAGAGCAGCCCTGGACCATTCTCCATGAGATTTGTTTATTTATCTGCCTCTGACTAACTAAGTTCCAAGGAGCCATGAATTTATTTATTCATTTCTGTATTTATTTATTCATTTCTGTATTTTTCTGTCTAGCAGGATGCCTTGCACACAGTAGACTTTCCACAAATAATCATTCAGCTCAAAACCATCAGGCAGTGATTTAAGTGAACAAAATTTTGAAAGAAAAGCATGATCCCCTGCTTTTCCTCATCTGATGTGACAAAAGATCATTGGTTCATTAAGGGCTTTTATGCCCAAGGATATCTATAATAAATATACAAGCAAAAAAAAA